GCATTCCATAATTACTCACAGCAGCTAACAATACATCTCTATCATTCCTTATTTCCCTATGAGTGTAGCAAATAATCTCTCCATTCTCTTTAGCCAAATTCAATATGAAACTCTTAAAATCGGTTTTATCTGAGTGCACAAAGGCATACTGAATAGCTTCTGGGTTATTTCTAATTGCCTCTGCTATTATCTCATCATCAACAAGATCAATATTAGCATACTCCAAAGATTCTCCATTATTTTGAACAGCTTGGAGTATCATTTCTCTTGTTTGATTTTCATCATTAATTAAACACAGCGCATTTCCATCATATTCTATTAATTTTTCACACTCTTCAACAGGAAATCCTTCAACATTAATACTATCAACTATTTCTCCAGAGTATTTCACAGACAACTTGGTTAATTCGATAATTTCAGAAAGAGACAAATCGTTAACATGTTGCAAATAGTATTGAGAATATGGATGAACTTTCATGACTTCAACAAGAATTTCCTTTCCAATACAATTGCCCATAGTATCGTGACATAATCCAAGGTACAGAGCTACCTTATTACCCACTTGTCTATCTGTCACTGCTGTTGTAGTCTTAACGAATGGATTGTCATTAGCTCCCAGGTTTACAATTGCATCACTTGTAACTTCTGAACCAAGATATTCCAAAGCCATGCCATTACTTTTAACTGCTTCTGTTGTAATTACCGTGTCCCAACATCCATTATTTTCAAAGACCGTAATGGCCATTCCATCCTCTTTAACAGCTTCCAATATTAAATCTTTTGTAATATATCTCCAATCCATATCCAAAATTAACATTCCATTCTGCTGAACTGCTCTTTTCCTCACTTTATGATGATTCTGTAATCGTTGACTTGCTTTTAAATAAAAATCTCCGTGAAAATCAATATATTTTAACATGACTTCCATATCATCACACAGTTTTTCTTCCATTTCCTCATCATTACACTGTTTAATCAGCAATTCCAAAGTAGAAGCATTCAACCCAGCCAAAGACAATGCATCGATCCGAACCTTTTGATATTTTACTTGTCGTTCGCGAGAATTTTTCATAAATTTTCGGAGGAAATTGTAGGCTTGGCTAATGTGTTGATTCCCAGCATCAAAATCGATGAGATGAATGGAACAAGAAATTTCAGACATTTTTTTTTAAAAAATTAAAAATTTACAAATACATGCAATTTAATTTAATATTTTGATCATTTTAGGACTATTTAATAATGTGAACGAAAGGTTTACAATATTGAAAATTTGAAAGAGATGGAATTCTTAAAGGGGAAGA